CTGAGGACCCGTCTTCCGGACCCCCTCCACCCACCCTTTCGGATTTTTGAATTTTTTTTGTACGTCTTGAATCCGTCCCTTGAGGGGGGGGTTCTGTCACGATTCTTGTGTTGTCACGTTTTTAGTTTTGTGTGTCTGGTAGTGGGTGTTTTGCTTTTCTCCTTGTCATGTTTTCCTCCCTGTGTATTGTCTGGTCCTTCTCCCTGTGTTTTCCTGTCTGTCGTTAGTTTCCCTGGTGTGTCTAATTTCCTGATTGTTTTCACCTCTCACCCCTTCTGTGTCTCCTGTGCTAATCAGCGTCAGTCCCACCCCTGATTATTCCCAACAGTGTCTTGTTACCCTGTGTTTAAATTCCCCTGTCTCCCAGTGTTCAGTGTCAGTTCGTTTTTGTCTTTTGCCATGGTCAGGTCTATGCTTTTTGTCTTTTGCCATGGAAGGTCTTGTCTCTTGCCACAGTCAGGNACTAACGGAACTAAACGTTAAAAATACGGGGAAAAGTACTCCGGTGTGAACGCGCCTATTGTGCATCCATGGGTAGAGGTAAAACTCACGTAGTACTGATTCAGTACTACGTGAGTTTTACCTCTACCCATGGATGCACAATAGGCGCGTTCACACCGGAGTACTTTTCCCCGTATTTTTAACGTTTAGTTCCGTTAGTACCCCTTATGTCGCGTTCTCACCAAAAAGAGTACTTAGTGCCGGGAACTTTTACCCCCATATTTAGTGCCTGCTAGAGAGGTGGAGAAAAAAGTACCAATTTCTATTGGCTGGGCGAATTGGAAACCAGGCCCCGTAAAATTCTGAAAAGTTTTTTGAAGCCGCCATTGTATTTGCTGGCATTAGCATTATTAGAGAGAGAGAGAGAATAACTTATGGCAACACAAAATAAAACATGGGAGCGGTGGAGTGATGTGGAGGTGTCGGCGTTCTGGCGATTTACTCAGAAGGCTTCTACTGAAGCCAGTCCCCAACTCCGGGGACTTCCGGCTGGGGACTTCGGGTGGCAGTATACGCCGTGAAGTTGTTTGCGGCCTGCCAGTAAACCCAAGGGGAAAAAAGTTGCCCGGGGATTAATTGACAGACAGGCCTACTTAATGCGCAGCATCGTATTGCNTCGGTGAGTGATTTACATGGCCAGTTCTAGGAAAAAAGAAACGGTAAAGTAAGGTCGACGATATATCTGACAGAACTCAAAAACGAACAACTTGAAGACAGGGGGGGCTAGGACCTGGTCTTGGACGTATAACAGATAGATGGGCAAAGTGGACGGACGACAAACCGGATGAACGTAGACGGCATCGATTAAATGTTATTTTGTAACGTGACGAAGTCAGACGGACAGACTGACATAAACATAGGGGACGACGGACGTGAAGTTGGGTGTGAACACCTCGTTAGATTTCAATCTAGTGTCGTACCGGACAATCGTGGGTCAAACCGAGCCAACTATTGTATAATATAACGTGTTTTCGTATAACAGAAGATGTAAGATGTATATGTAAGTTTCTAGTTCAGGATTTTTGTCACTGAAGTGTTCAGACTTGCGATTAGTGAGTCTGTGCAAGTGAATGTGTTATATTTTGTATCATCTAGTTGACTGATATCGTATATTTTCCCGATGACATATAATTATTTTTTTTCTTAATCGGTATAATCTTCGTGTGAATTTCGGGGGGTTTTGTTATAACCAGGTGACTGGACCCAGGTTCTAATGAGAAAAGGTGAGTGATGAAGTCTGGTGAAAAAGTCTGAGGGCATCAGATGGCTCGAGTATGGCAGGTCTAGGCAAGGCCGGATTAGTACCTCCAGGGCCCCCCGCCCCCCCAACCAGTGGCGGACTAGGGGGAAAAAGTTGACCGGGGATTAATTGACAGACAGGCCCACTTAATGCGCGGCATCGTATTGTATTTTTTTCAAATCCGAGCGGTCCTCCGGCCCACGTACAGCACCGGCCCACCGGGAAAACTCCCGGTATTCCCGATGGCCAGTCTGCCCCTGCCCCAAACCCACGTACCAACAAGTAACACCACGCCTACCCATACCTACCAACATGTCAATCTGGCATGTAAAATCGCACACCTATTTGTCAAAAGCAGGGACGCAGCCACATAGTTCAACCAAAGTAGGTCTAGCCTTTTGCCCTTTCAGTCAGAAATCACAAGACAAAGATACAATGGATAAGATCTCAAGACAGTGTATGGCTCCAGAAGACCTAATATTGACAATAACAACCGACCGTCGGAGTAGCATTTGCTTGGCATTTCCGGTTATTTCTCCACTGGTAACATGGGTTAACAATACCGTGTAACTGTCCCGTTTGAAGGGACGAAATCGTGACATCTTCACGTCTCCCATTATGGTAAATCGTCACATGTTCACGTCTTGCCGTGATATCGGGTTGAAAAAAATAGGTGTTTCTCATCTGTCCATTGTGTGTTGCATTGATAGTCACTGGGTCACATGACATGGACGATTAAAATACAAAAACAAGACTTTCAATAAAAAACAGCAGAATTTTCATAAAGATGTTCAAATTAAAAAGAAAAGAGCCGAGTTGTGTCCTACTTGTCTATACTATGATGCTTCACTGATTTGGAGTCATTAAGTCACATAGCTTGGAAGCACTTTTTAATAAAGGAACTGCTGAATATTCATAACAATATTCATAATAAAACTTACAAAATTGGCGTATCATAAGGGCAGTAATATAATGCTTCCTTGATTAGGAATACATAACAAATGATCATTTATGTTTTTTGTACAGTGCTTTTCCTGGTGCTCAAAGACGCTTGTTACTTAATTAATTGATCTCACATTAATGAGATTAGAAAGGGTTTGGACTTTTGGAAAAAACTCAATAAAAATAAGTTTGTCCAATGGAGGCACTGGATCACATGACATAAAAAGGACTTGTTTTATATTATTCTTGAAAATCCTGAAGCAGAATTTAAAACAAGCTGCAAACAGGAGTTACAGTTCATTAATACAAGTTGCATTAAAGTAGCCATGACAGGATATATAACCTTACAATTGCATGAATGACTGTTTCCATTTCAGCAGATAAGCTTATCTGAACTACTGATTTTGTGTTTGTCTGAACTAAGATTACAATCACACAACAATGGCATCGATGCTTGTTGTCTGTTTGTTTTCCATCACATGGCTCCCTCTCAAACAGTGTATCAAACACCTCTTCAGACACCTCCCTGTCTGTCTGCTTACCATTTGTTCCAAACATCTGCCTGTGTCAGCTGCTCTGAAGGAAACAGGGAAGATTATTCCTCAATTAATTAACAACTCTGTTGGACGTCTCACTGTCTCCAAGTCTCCTGAGAAATATATGAGATGTGAGATAGTATTTGTTTGCACAATGAAACAAAGCAGTAGAAACACAACAGAAAAAGACACAAGTTGTGCAGATGAGAATAAAAAAGCATTAGGAACAGCAATGGCTATATATTCAACAAAAGTAAACAAAAAAAGCAAAGTAGCTTACAACATGCAACAAAAATACAATTATTTTGAGTGTTTACATACGTGTGTGCAGTTTGCGTGTACAATATAACATTTGTAAAATATGAGAACAACTACAAACGCTAACAAATAATACCCAAACAGATCAAATTTCATAAATATTTATTACATATCAATGAACAGAATCGACTACTTTCACAGCAGTGGTCTACAGCACTTGTTTAAAATAATTGCTCAAATAATAATCATAATAATAATATAGTTTAGTTTCATTTGAGGCCACATTTGATACACAAACATTTACAAGTAGTACTTGGCATTAAAAACGATGGCGATACAATATTTTAAGACACTTGGTGTTTTTTTTGTAAATTTTTCTTTCGTTTTGATATCACAGAGAGGTTCAGCAACAGTCTAAACAGTAAATATAGATTCAAATACAAATAAAACTAAACAAAAAACTGTGAAAATGCCAAGGGGAGGTAGGAACAAAGAGTACTCGACAGAAATACAGGAGAAACATCGTAAAGTGGGAGAAGCAGTGTGACAAACAAACTGCCAGGCATCCCGCACTCATTCAGAGTAATAAACACTAAAGTACCTTTTTATAAAAAAACTCCCCCCGTTCTTCTTCTTCTTCCCTTTTTAGTTTTTCTGAGTTATGTTATAGTGTTGCAGGGTTCACACTGAGACTAGCAGGAGAAAGGAGGAGAGGCGTGAGGAGAAAGAAGAGGAGGCTCATGCAAGATCTGAAGGCTGCTGTGAGAGAAACCACCACAGAGGGGCGCTGTCATTCCCATCAGCAGAACCACTGCTCCCAGTCTGATGCCTCGCCCACCGGTGGATGCTTAAAGACTTCTCTTCTGGTTTTACTGACTGTCTAGTGTCCATCACTTTTCCCCTATTTTATGTTAGATTCAGCGTTGTTACAAGACTGATGTAAATATCTGAAGTGCAAAGGAAAAAGCAAATTTGTACTAGAGAATAAAAGTGCAATGAAAGTACTTAAAACTTAACAGGGCCCAATTATGTTTATTTTCAGGTTCATATTTGTATTTTGTGCCTCTCATGGGACATGTCTCCATGCTTTAATATTCAAAAGCTCTTTATTTTTCTCATACTGTCTGTGCTGCAGCACCTCTTTTCACCCTCTGTCTGAAACCAGAGCCCAGTCTGCTCTGATTGGTTAGTTGGCCGGCTCTGTGGTGATTGGTCAACCACTTAGAGATGTCCCGCACCTTAGCCTATCACGGGGAGATACTCCCTCTCGAGGGGTCTTTGGGATTTTAGCCTTTGCAGACCATTTACATGGACAAAAACCTAATCACCATACTACAGGAAAGGTAACACCCCCCCAAAAAGCACAATAGGGTCGCTGTAAGTGTATGAAGAATAGTTTATGTGTGTCTGAGTGTGTGCATTATTGTCATCAATTAAACCCTTGCACTGCCTTAAAGCCTTATATACAGTATATATATATATATATATTTCTGTGTTTGAACTTTAGATTTGTATTTTAAATGTGTAGTTTTGTCTACAATTCCTTTTACAGACACAGGACAGTCTAGTAAAAACATCCACACTTTTTCTCTCATCTCAGCTTGTGGTTTGCTTTATGCTGCTCTGTTATGATATCACAGACCTCGTGGCTTCCAAAGAAGATTTTTTTTGGTGCAGGAGTCTTAATACATGTAGCAAAGGCAGGTCATGCAGAAGTAAGGACGTCTCACTCTGTGTGGCTTTAAAAGAGTGCCTCCTGCAGGTGAATTCAAACTGAATGGAGATGTGGGACACCATAGTAATCATATAGGACTACAATCATGGCTGCTACTCTCAGACACTAGATTTTGGTGGCTGTTAAGAGGTGTACTTCAGTGGAGGATGCTGGGAAATGGCACTTGTGGGAGACTTTGCCTCCAGCCCTGTCTACCTGTATACTGTGAATAAGGAGAAGAATAAGGACTAATATGTGCAGAGAGCATAACACATCCTACTTTGACTAAATATGGGAATAAAATGATTTTTTCTATAATATCTATAAATATGCATCACAGGCATACATGCCCGTCACTGTGTATGCACTCCATGTATAAACAGATGTACACATACATATATGCATATCATACAACAGTTGTAAAGGAAATATCACATAATATACAACACATATGAAGCTCTAGCAACTTCAGAGGGCTCTGTGAGATTTACGTCGTGCCTCGGTGCGCAGATTTACATTCAGTGTGTGGTTTGTGATCAAACCTTTAACATTACCTCAAGGCTGTTGCAGAGCTCTGAATAAACTGCGGCAGCTCACACAGCCTCAACGCCTCTTTGGGTTATTTGCTGGTGGGGGGGGGGGGGGGGAACACAAACACCCGAAACACACAGCGGCTGAAAGACTTGCTCGTGGAAACAAACGAACACATCCTCACCCCCCTGCTGCACCCATCTTGTCTGACGAATGGGGAGACCCAAGATACAAGGATATAAACAACAACAAAAAAAGAATTCAACAAAAGCAAACCAACCAAAACATGAAATAAAGGTGACAGTACGGGAGTGGGGGGGCAGAGGAGTGCACGGTGGGATTGTCTTCACTTTAGGTCCAGGACGTCTTCTTCGAAGGATGTGGAGAGGGCGAAGACGCTGGCGAGAGGCGGGCTCTCCATCAGCAGCACCACCTTCTCCGGCTCCACCTCTGGAGCGGACGTACAGTGCAGCTGCACGTCCAGCTCCGCCTCTCCAGAATCTGAGGCTAACCTGGGGGGCATAGAATTATTATTTAAAATGTACATTAAAGTACCCTATTATACTCTTTTTCATCAATATATTATAGGTCTCAGATATACTGTATACAAAACATGTCTCTGAAGTGTTTGGCTCGAAATACCAAACAGATCATTGCAGCATCCCATAATCCCCTCTGTTTCAGCCCTGTTTCAAAAGTGCTGATTCTCTGGCCGTTTCTCAATGTCGAGTACACCTGCTGCAGAGCCACTTGTTCAAGTATACTACGTCATAGAGTGGCGCAGAATGCTGGGAATTTAAACAGTCCTTCGGCGCCACTCATGACGCAGTATACTTGAAATAGTGGCACACTGTCTGTTACTTTAGATGAAAATAAGGAGCCACTCCCCACGCCCCTCTGTGATGTGATTGGTTAAAAAGAACACAATGGTGCATCTAGGAGGAGATTCAGGTGATAAGGTGGTGGTGGTGGTGGTGGGGGGTTACCTTGGTTGGTGATTGGCTAATGGTTACACAAGCCAAAAAAACATGACATCACCAACTCTGACCAGCTAATTTTCAGACAGGTTTTTTCCAATGTCCAGAATCTCTTTCCACAGAGGGGACACATATTTATGTATAAAAGACATGAAAAAGTGGATTTTGCATAATAGGTGACCTTTAGACAATCTTTTACATACAAACCCCTCCCTTTAAGCCACTTCACTCAACCCTTTCTCCTTGAATCATTATGTTTTTATAGTAATATACTAATTTGCACATACTTTGCAAATGGTCTAAAGGCATGGTGTTATTATGTTTTCCCTACAATATGCAAATGCTTTATTGTCACAATAACTAAAGCTTATTATTGGCAATGAAAGTCCAGTTGTCCCAGGCTCCTTCAACAATACTGTCTCTTCACCAGTATTGGAAATAGTACTTCTATATAAAGGAAAAGTAGTCCAGTTAATGGCAAATCAACACAGAAGATATAAAGTGGTGAGGGGAATGAAAAGTAAAGGAAAACCTTTTAAAATTAAGATTTCTTATGAGCTAATAAACAACGTTTTTAGGCTACAAAATGAAGTGCATTAACATGAACAGTGTTTGCCAACACACCTGTCACTGTTTGTTGACGTCAGTGCTCGTGCTTTGGGCTCTTCCTCCGTGTTCTTCTTGCTCATCTTCCTCTGTTTGACCGTCGCACTGTCTGACTTCCCACTCGGTTCCTCTGTCAAGCCTTCGTTAGTATGAGGTAACAGGAAATATGTTAAATCTATAGAATAGTAAAACGTTTCTGGGGAATATGTTCATTTGACCAGTCAAAACAGTTTTTTTCCTAGGGTAGCAATACCCCCCCCCCCCCCACACTAACAATGCTAAAACTCTATAACTATCATTATCATGCATTGAAGACAAAAGAAGATACAAATCTATTTAAAATAGTCTTATAGTTGATTAACATTGAGCAAAAGAGCTATATATGAGAAAAATATTAAAATAGGCAGATAAGACTATTCAATATAATCAATAGTAGAATATACCAGTGTATATAAATGTGGTTAAGAAGTGAATAAACACGAGCACCTGTTTCGGATTTGCAAGCATACCTGTCTGTACCGACTACACAGAGAAAGGTCAGAGAATTTAAATGAATGTCTGTATTTATGTATCATTTGCCAATACTTAGAAGGAAAGGGGTAATGTATGTATGTGTATGTGAGCAATAACGTGTAGATTGGAGTGCACTGTAAACTGAGGAGGTTGTGATTTGTATGTACATCTCCATGTATGTTATCATTTTGTGGAATAAAAAAAAGTTTAAAAAAAAGAAGTAAATAAACAGAAACAGATGCTATTTTTATCATTACCATTAACATGTGATTTGTTAAACTTTAAAGTGGACCTATCATGCTATATTTGAATAATATAATGTAGGACCATACCTATATAAGGCATATTTATACTTTTTATTTTTCAAAATACCAAACAGATCATGCATTTTAGCCATTACTCATTTCGCTCAATTTAACACTGTCTTTGCATGGTCTGATTCTGTGAGAACAGCACCATCTACAGGCCTGGCATATGTACTACAGCGTCTCCAGCGCTTTCGAACGGCAATGTCCGTGGCTGTCTCCTCCTGATTGGTGGAGTTGGCCCAATAGCCGTAGCGCCACTTCTGTGACGTCATAGAAGTGTTCAAATCTGGATCAGTCTGTATCAGATCCGTTGCAGCCCCTTTTTAAGAGATTTGGGTATGGAGGAAAATAGAGAGCGTTGTGTTTTCTGACACTTGGTGAGTTCCCTGGAACACCGGGGACACATATTCATGTATTAAAGACGTACAAAAGTGCATTTTGCATGATAGGTCACCTTTAAAACTAAAGAGGAATAAAGAAGCGTAAAAAAATTCTTTTTTTATATACAGTTTTTTCAGAAAAATAACAGGTCTAATGATGAGCATTAGAGTTGTTGCTACCTTTAGATAGAGCCAGGCTAGAGAAAATAAATAAAACTAAGTGTGTTATCTCATCTTTACCGAGCAGCTCCTTCCGTGTGCGGCTGGCGATCTCCTTGATCTCCATGCGGGACAGGGAGAGGGAGTGTGTGGCGGAGATGAGGGCAGTGGGGGGAAGCATGGTGGGGGCCGGCGTGGTCAGCACCTTGTTGACCAGAGGGGACTTCAGGGGCCTTTCAATGCTCCGGCCCACGAGGTTACACAGAGGGATCTTGAACATGTGCTTACATGCTGATTCACCTACAGGGCGGGAGACCAGAGGGAGAGAAGAAGGGAGGAAGAGGAGAGAGCAGCGGGGAGAGTCAGGTGACAAGATATGAAAAAGGAATAAAAAGAGCAAAGATGGGAATAGTGTCGGGAAAAAGACACATATAAACGGTGAGACGTGTGTAGTAGTTAATGAGAAATGTATGGAACTCTGCACTTCAAGCACATAAGTGTTTTTGCATGATTTAGCTTATTAGCGACATGATTGCATTTCTATTAAAAGCACATCTTAACAGACTTTTTACACTTTCGATTTTGAGAAATTATATTGCCGTTGCATGGGAATGAAGTTGGGAGTAGTGACTATTTCTCGAAATAGCTTGACATTTTGGGAAACATTTTTATTTATGTATAGCAAAGCGTTACATGAAGTCTTTCCGGAAACGAGGATCATTCTGACTTGTCCATGCACTGGGTTTACCAGTCCGATTATAATAAAGCTATTATCCTATAAAGCATATATATTAGGACTTAGAATAAAAAGTCAAAAAAGATTCTAAAATACCATACTTTTTGGGATTAAATCAGTAGGATGGCAAATTGATATAAAAACTCAAATAAAAAAGGAATAGCATGCCTACATTTACTGTCATTTTACTTACTCTTTGCCGAAATTACACAAAATTGAGATTAGAGATTATTTCTTATAATTGTTTGACATTTTCGTAAATATTTCCTTTTTTATTCCTTGCAGAGAGCTAAATAAGAAAATGGATAACCCTCTCGCACCTGTAAAATAGGTGCCATTGACTCTTGTCAATGCATTAGGTATTTACCTTTAATAGAAACATTGGCTTACATCTTTTGAATAAAACGCTAATAAATAAGAGAAACAAACAGGGGCTAGATGTTTCCCTTGCTGATAAACTAATTACCCTTTTCATGTATCTTGATATTTACCAGACAGACATGATATCAACATCCTCATGTAATCCTTGGCAATTATATTTCCAAAATGTCAAACTATTCCTTTGAAACCCTCTTGGTGGTGCATTCAAGGACCCTTCAACATTACTCTCATGTGCTCACTTCACAAACACAAAGCAAACGTTCTGCAAATGTTGTTGAAATCATAACATGAACTGGTTATTTCATGTATTTCAAATAAAGTCCTTGTATGCACCAATAAAGAAGATCGAGAGAGTTGAACGTGAAGGATAACTGATGTCGAGCAAGTTTCTAGTGGATTTTCATAGCACAGCAAAAAACAATCTTAAATAATGTCTCGCTAGGATGGTAGAAATCAATCAAGATTATTTTCAAAAGGACCTTTTTTGTGACTGAGACTAGGTTGATGAGCTGATAAAATAAAACTAACCCTCCATATTCACACGAAGACACTCTGAAGTGATTAATACTCCTATTTACCGAAACAGCATGTGATCTTAAAATTAATCATCCTTACTACAGAGAGCTAACTGTTCAGTTGTAGCCATTTATAGCAGGCCATCTATTATTCAGTGAGGATATTAAATGCTTAAAAGTCTGTTTGGGACACATTAAATGTAGTTTTTCATGATCTGCAGCAGTGTGCAAATGTGCAGTGAACAAATCGTACCACATGAGAGCAGTATTGCAATTGAGCAGCCAAAACTCTGCTTCTTTTGAGGCAGGCTGATAGAAACATGGATGAATTGATGTGGAGGCTACAGCGCCGCACAAAAAGGACTGTCTCTTCTGAAATGTCAGCGGGTGAGAGGTGAGTGAACAGCCATGGAGGAAAACAGAGGGTCACAGCTGATGTTTGACAGGAAAACTGTGTTCCTGTTGTTACAGATCCTCTCCCCTGCACCCGCGCTGTCACACAGTGGAAATGGCAATAATGTGAAGGGGGGAAAAGCATGCAGTTATTTTGGAATATACAAATCACTCAGATCAATATATTCCACATGCGCTTCTGGACCGGGGGAAGTGTCACTCTGCATGGAATTAAATATAAATATTGGGGGTGTTTTTTGCACTAATTGGAGTCGAATTCTTCCCCTGCAGAGGGGTTTTGCTGCAGGCGTTTGGTAGCAGCCACATCGGTACCAGCATCTTGTTCACATTACTGATGCGATTACATCAGATGAAACCCTCCCCAAGGAGCAGATACGGCAGGCAGTTAGAGGATGGGATTTTTGTCAGCACCCCTTCTACCTCTCCCCCCACTCCATCTCCCCCTCCCTCACCCCCAGATTGTGGCACCGCTGTTTGGACTTTGGATCGAAGAGTGGGCTGACAAAAGTCTCCATGGCGACAGTGCAATCTGTAAATCATGCTGCGGCAGACGTGTCTTCTCCTTCCCTCTTCTCTCCCTCCTTCTTTTCTCCCAAGCTTGTACACAACCCCTCCCTTTCTCTCTCTCATGCATACCTTCTTCTCTGCATACCCCCCAACCTCTCCTCCCTCCTGTAATTAAAAAAACCCTCCTCCCTTGATCGACGTTATCTCCTCTGCCTCACTTTTTCACTTTGCACTCCATCACCTCCCTCTAACTCTACCCCTCGCTGTAATTCTTTAATTAGTTAAGACAGAAAGGAGGTGGGGGGAGGGGATGGGGAAGACATAATGTTCACTTAACATTCGACCAACGTTCAAGTCAACATGCCGCCGAGGAGCAGACAGGGTGGTGCACTCTGGGAGCTTTTGCATGTGAGTGGGGTTAGCGTTATGAGCGTTATTTTCATGAGCATGTGGGGAAATATCCTGCAGTACCTTCAGCATCCTTAGACATGTACAGGGAAAGCTTGGTACCATAGGGGATCCGAATAGAATCTGAACCAGGGATGAAGAAGAGGGTTACACAAACTGCACACACACGCACGCACGCACGCACACACACACACACACACACACACACACACACACACACACACACACACACACACACACACACACACACACACACACACACAGTTTTTCATATGTTGTCCTACTGTATATTCATTGTACTACGTTTTTTTATATATCTAGATATTTATATATGGTGTAATAGTCTTTATTTTATTTTTTATGCCAAATATCTTTATTTTTTTAATATATAACATTATTATATTTTTTACCTTCTCCAACAACTTATTTTCTTTTATGTTGTTTATGTTGGCACCATAATACACCACAGCAAATTCCATGTATGTTCAAACGTACCTTGTAATAAACTTAATTCTGATTCTGATAACATGCAAATAATCCTTTGGAGAGAAATGATAACCCGAACCAGCCTAAAAGCATAAAGCCCGTCCTGCGCTGATTACAGCAGCGACAGTCATACCTTCCTCCCTGTTAGCCTTAATGTGACCTGTGAATACCCAGAGGGAAGCAGAGAAAACTGCCTCCATGCTGCACACATGACATTTTATTTTTTCTCCTCAATCCTTCCTCGTCCTTCCCTACAGAATAAAATGCATGTATCTGGGGACGACTTTGTGTTTAAAATCTACAAAGTGAGGTCGCCATGATCCATCAGTCTGAAAGACAAACCTCTAGGCCCTTAATGACAGCCGTGCATCGTAAATATGCCCCATTTTCAGACAGTAGTGTCAGACTGAGGGGGAGGTCAGCTGCAGGGGGAGGGGAACGGTCAAATACAGAATAAAAGATGGAGGAGGGAGGGAAAGTGGGCTGGAGGGAGGGGCTCATATTGATCCTCCATCATCCGTGAAAGCATTCTCTTCCTGGGAGGACACTTACTGTGTGTACACGTGATGGTGGAGGGTGATTGGTCTGTTCCTCCTTGTGTTATTTGTGGTTTGTAAGACTGGAAAGGATCATAGCGATGCTTTTAAGACCTTTAACAATATTATAATTAAATAACAGCCAACCATTTTCCATATTTATAGATTGGATTCTTGTGCTGCAACCGCAAGTATTTAACTAATGAGGAAAATCTATTTGCAAGAACGTCAATAGACATTGATGTTTGTCATGTTTTATATGGATGATTGTTTTAAAAATCTGTTTTCATTGATGCGCCAAAATCTGATAGTTGGCATACTTTAAAAGAATAAGTGAGAGAGATATTCCATATTTTTTCCTATTATCAACAAATCCCGTGACAATGGTTCCCTGTGTAACCAAAGTCTGGAATAATGTATTCCTCTGTGCCATAGATCTCCATTGTTATACAAAACCATTATAAATGATCCAAGCTTGCAACGAGAAAGGCAGACGTGACAGTTATCTGCTTTTCCCACCGAATGTTTTTTTAATTTATTATTTAAATATACAAAATGAAAGGGAAACAAATCGCTGCATAGCTGGGGACTAATCACAAATCTTAATACAATGGTCAGCCTTCATGTCAAGTTAACAGGATTTGAAGATAATAGGCTAAAATACTGAAATGCTAACAGTAAGTTACAGTAGAAAATAGAAGCTAAATACTGTCTGAAGATCTTTTCCAGTAGCGCCAACTATGAGGGCATTTTGTCATAAACTATATTATGTCATGAGTGAGAAAGGATGAGGTAATAAGGAGAGGGGAGATTTATGCAATTAATTATCTTGCCCTAGAAACCCACACACGATTCCACTGTGGGAACCTCTAGCTGCAGCTTATGTAAATGAAACTCCAGCTTTAGGCTAACTTGGCAGCATCCAAAGTCACACAGCTCTGCAGAAAATACTGACAATTGAAAACCTTTAATAGCGAAGCTTTTACTATCAACCTCCCGTGGTGCTTTCACTGAGCGTCGGGGCTTACCATCGCCGAGCGGGGAAGGGAACACGGGCATCTCGTAGCCCGTGGGCGTTTGTGGGGAACTCTGGGAACTGGTTTCTCTCGAACTGCAGTTTGAAGCTGAGCTCACCGGAGCCGACGAAACAAAATAGATGTCCGACTGTGGGCGGGAAACAGAAGAGAGGAAATATAGGTCAATATAAAGACATGTAAAGAGAAAACATGGACCTAAAGGATGGTTAGAAGGTGAAACATGGAAAGAAGGAATTATGATAAGTAAGTTAGCGCACCATGATAAGTAGATTGGTATATAAAAGAGTATTCTCATTTATTCTGAATATTTTATAGAGTATAGTTTATAGTACAGTATATTATTCTAAATATTTTTATGTTTGTATGTTGATCTGAATTTTATTTGTATTTTAAAGTAATTTTGTAAATCTTGTAGATTGAATGTCTACCTATCTATCTATCTATCTATCTATCTATCTATCTATCTATCTATCTATCTATCTATCTATCTATCTATCTATCCATCCATCCATCCATCCATCTATCTATCTATCTATCCATCCATCTATCTATCTATCTATCTATCTATCTATCTATCTATCTATCTATCTATCTATCTATCTATCTATCTATCTATCTATCTATCTATCTATCTATCTATCTATCCATCTATCTATCCATCTATTTCTTTATGTATCTATCCATCTATAAGTAGAGGACATGGTGTTTGTGGTATGCCATGTGCACTGTGATGTTTTTCAAATGTTCTATGTGTATGAATGATGAGTGTATTATGGAGTTGTAACCATGCAGATTGCCAGCCGTATTTCCCACCAGGGTAATAAAGATTGATTGAAATGAGGGAGCTGAAACAGCAGTAATGCAGAGAGGCCTCCGAACCCTCACGAGATAAAAGGGGTTTAGCTATAGTGAAACCTAGTGTCAAGTAGGTACACTCATAATGCACTTTCTAATTAACAACATGAACAAGTATTAATAATTATTCATTATGTGTTGACCAAGACTGCCTTTTATCATTTGCACAATAAAGCAAAGGTAATCACTACTGATCCAGTGACATGCAGTAAAGTTAAAATACGCTTTTGTTTTTTACTAATCTTACGTACTAGCAAACTAAAACCATTTCCCATTGAAAAAAGACTATTCAAAAAGCTGCTACGAGGATTTTAACAAAAAACTAAAATAAGATATCTTATAGCTTTTGTTTTACACAATCTACACTGGTTCTCCATATCGTTTAGAAGTGATTTAAAGCTTTTCTCTTATGTTTAAAAGGCATTTGATTGCTTGTCCCCTTTAAACTCCTTATTGTTTTATGATCTTTGACCAAAACCTCAACAGCTGCTCTTTTAACTGTAGTCATACTTTGATATTCTATGCATGCAAGGTGCTAAATAAATAAAGATAGTTCATTCATAAAACAATAAAATAACAATTTTACATCAGTTCCTTGCAAATTGTTATCAAACAGACATGATATCGTGTTCACTGACCCGTGAAGAGGCCAGCTGCAGCTCAGGGACCACCGCGGTGTAAACCAGGTTTCCATTCACCACCAGCCGGATCTCAATGGAGTCCGTTGTGAAGGCCAGGATGTAAGGGAACGCACAGACTGCAAAGAATATATGAGCATATTACTAAAAAAGGGAGAGGAAATGTGCTCAACTGCCCAACTTTAAGCATACGCAACCATTGAATGGTTTCACCCAGGATGGTATTTTAAAATGTCATCATTAGCCGAGGACAGAGGCATGAGGATGGAAGTCTTCAAATCTTTATTTTTGACTAAAAAACAACATTTACTTTTTCTGCTCTTAAATAACTTTGAACAATTAATCGATTATACAAAATAGTTTTTGATCATAATTTTACACTTATTTATCAAAACTGCTGTTTGAAACTGAGGCTCTCCAATTTTGTTTGTGTGTGTATCTGTGAGAAAAAATGAAGACAGCAGCTTGTTGTTATGAACTGGGTCAGCTTTACAGATTTAGAACCAATTGTATTTGCTTGTTATCGCCCTCTGCATTCATAAAAACATGACACAAACATAGACACAGACACACAGACACAGAAACACACACAGTGTTTCCATGGCGACAGCAAGCCCAGGTCAGAAGCATGGACTGGGTGCGGCCTGGGCTCTGTTGCTGTGGTAACCTACCGATCGCATTGGGCATCTGGTTCCAGCTGAAGTGGAAATCAGAGGCGTTGGACTGGATCATCGGCGTGGAGCCGTTAAACGGACACACTTTCTTATAGGAGCAAATATCTGCAAGAGACACAGGAAACAACTTTTAAAAAAAATATATATACTTTCTTAATCTAACTGTTCCTTTTTTGTCAAAGTTTGATAGAGCTTTACATCTCAAATAGGTGTTTGTCGGGGCGTTTAAAAACCAATCACTGAATTGAGCTATTTTTATTCTAGAAAAGTGCAGTGGCATAATAAAAACATCAGGTCTCAGCCAAATATCTCCATCCAAGCTCAAAGTCCAAGGAGATACCTTTAAATATATTTTCTTTTCAGAAACACAAAGATATTCACTTTATAGTCTAGATGCCAGCTCTAGAGTCCTATTATTGAGGATGCTGAGTCAATTTCTGACATTTCAAGATAATAAATGGCAGTTTTAACCAGAAACAGCAAATATTTGTACCCTCTGAAGGCTGATTTTGATGAGTTTTGGGACAATTTTTAAAGATTTCATTTAGATTGGACAAATTGCCTATTTATTTGAAATATAATTGTCCAGAGCCAATCATTGTTAATGTTGTGCTCTCTATATACAATGGTGGCAACACTATACAGTATAGGTAGTCCAAATCAGCCCACCGAGAACAAATATGCCCACTTTTTAAACTGCAATTTTTTTTTATCTTGAAAATGTCAGAAATTGATTCAGCATCCTCTATAACACCAACACCACTCCAAAACTGTCCAAATCGGACAAGCTATCTTTTTACTATTGTTTACATAGTCTATAATGCCATTCATTTAGCAACTTATGCTAATTGTGCAAATTGCCCAACATATGCAAGTTAGCACCCGGCAGTTTGTATGTGCTGGGGACCCATGCTATAACTTATGTGTACTCAACATTTCAGGGTTCACTAAGCTGGCAACTAGACTCTAGACTAGATTAATATGATATACAATAGAAAAAAGGAGGAAATGTTTATATTTGCGAGGTGAAAAGCACCATTTAGTATCCATCATTTTTTGCATTAAAATGACTTTGAACAAATAATGAAGTATACAAACTCATCCTTCCAGCAGTAGAGTTAAAGAGGGACTCACAGTTGTAACACAGCAGCAGGCCCGCCTCTCCGTCTTCATACACATCGATGGCTGCTACAAAATTTACCTGCAGGCAGAGACAGTTTAGTGCATTAATTTCAAAGGTCAGGTGTAAGAGACAAATCATGCTAAGTCACAAACGCTCAAGTTACTGCGCAACACTCCAGGCAACAGTTTGTTTCTCATTGTGTCTCAAAGTGGAAATGGTCAGAAAAAGCTGGTTTATTAGAACAGCTGCTCATCCTCCCCACTCTCCAGCTGGTGGCTGTGAATGACAACGTGTTGATTTGCCCCGGCTGATCAGCGGCTAAATAAAGACGCTAACTGGGCCATCTCAGATCTGACAAACTTTAACAGACAACACATGTAAGAAAAGAACAAATGTGCCTCACCCTGTTGGCGTCGACGTGATGTAGCCGGTAGGCGTCTCCCGTGCTCTCGTTGATGAGGTCAAACTGATGTTTATAGGCCACGCAGATCATGTTGTCGTTCTCCCCTGTCGGCCCGTCCACCAGCGCCATCACCACTGGGGGGTCGCACAGACAGATCTCCTGATTGAGGGAGGAGACAGGAACAAATCTTAGTCTCAAACACATGGGCTGCAGTCGAATAGTCCATTTAGCTTAGGAACCTTCCTAACGGAGTGAAATGACCCGGAAGTCCCTCAGTGGCAGCCATGATAAGAGCCGTTAGAGTTCTCTAGATGATAGGAAAGGAGGTTTCAAACTTCCTTTATAACCTCCTTTAGCTTAGGAACCACTGGACCTCCCTAACCGAAAGGAGAGGAGAAAATGCTGCACCACAATTCCTTGTAGCCGCAGCATTTGCCGTCACACAACAGTCGGCCGTTCACGGAAACAACCAATTATGACCGAGAAATGATATCATGAAAGTTACGGTGCTTATTAAGCTTTTTAAAACGTATGTGGTAACTTGCCAAAGTGCTTTGTTTTGACTGTTCATCAGTATTATAATCAAAAAGAGAAATATGAACGTTACTTTTTACTGAAATGATCAAATAAAGTCAACATTTCACAGTCTTTACTGAGCTGTGTGGGGTTTGTTCAACTTTTAAAAGATGTTTGAATGGTGATATACACAGTGATAGATGTTAAGGACTAACGTTTATAATAAATACATTTGTATTTATTTTAAGATCTTTTTATAGTTCATACAATCATATGTATTGGGATCATTTGTATTAATGTACCGGAGGGAGAGGGTGATGAGCATAAGTTTCACTTTCCTTTTTTATTTCAATTCCAACTTTGGTTATGAAGAATATGTTTCTCTGTTGTCCACGTTCATAAAGCATAAAGCAACAGCATAAAGCAACAGCATCAGAGCACGGTGCAGAGTCTCTAGATGAGTTTACAGTAGTCCCTCCTTCTTTTTAAACATCCATGTTGTAGTCCGCTGTATAGAAAACTGTAGTTTCCATAGTTTCCCCACAGCAGCAGACGCACATTCATGACGTCCGCTGGCGCATCATAAACACGTCGGATAGTGAAAGTGCAGTCGGATTCTCTAAAGTACCGCAGTCTCTTCCCCTAAGTCCTTTTGAATTCTCCTATCGACTATCCCTTAACCCCGTGACGTTTTACTCAGAGGTCAAGGAATAGACGATAGGGTTAGAACTTAGGAGCTGATTTTTGGTTTATTCGACTGCAGCCATGGGTAGGCTTCATTATTTTATAAGAAAGTTGTCATTATACAACATTTTGGTAGATTTAGAAGGGTTTTTTAAAGTGTGATGATTTGACCCTTACTCTACATTTCACCATGTGGATTACAGCAGTCAATCAACCTTTTTTGAGACACGGTACATTTTTACATAAAAAAATCCAGGGGCACACAAACAACCAGAAAAGTAGCACATTGTAGCCTAATACAGCATATAAATATATGTATATCTATATTATCTATACTTATAGGGATATATAATGATAATTTAATGATAAGTCTCTCAATTTCGATACAATATACACACTACATACTAAATATCGCTTTGAGAGCTTTCTCTTAGTGTTTTTTTTATAATAAAAGTGACCTGTTTCTCAATTTGTTTACGCAGCGTTCTTGCTTTGGAGATGACGTTCAAGCTTGCTTGGGACCATGGCAACATAAAAAATAATCACATGCTCATACCAAAACAGTAGCATCGGTGCTAGTGAAATTCAAAAAACAAAACAAAAATATGGGGTGTTAGAAGCTGCTTATTTTTTCTGGTGATGACTGCATAAAATAAAAGCTAACATATTGCTGTTTTTTTATTTAGATTTTTAGTATTTTCTAGTAAGTATTTAATTACTTGGACTTGACAGATAACCATGCTCTAAGTTGAGGGCTACAACCTGAACCCCATTTGTTATTTGTTGACAATTGTCAAGTTTCAAACATTAAGCATGCAAAATTAGCTATTAGCAGCTCCTTCTTGCAATCTATACAAGCATTTCCCATCCCAGGATTATTTGATAGCGAAGAAAAGATACATAACATACAAGTTCAAAATATAAAAATAATAATAAACTAGACTACAATAGAACATGATTTGGGCAAATTGGGGCAATATATATAAAAAAATTACCCCAATTGCTGTAAAAAGGGACAGTACATTCTATTATTATATTTATTCACTCAAGAATCCATAAATCCATCAAATTATTGAGTTTTCTTTGGTACCCGTATGTACTGAAACTCCTCCACCGGTGACTCTGCTCCCGGGGCTTCAAAGCGGGGGTGTTTCCTGGTGATGAGGAGGAGTTTGTTCCTGATGGCTGCTACTATCCTCAGCTCGGAGCCGTGGTGCGTGTTGATGGAGTACAGATGACAGCCTGGGACAGAGAGGCGGAGGAGGGTAAAAGAGAAGCAGACAGAACATGTGCTGCAGGTGGTGTTCCCTGGCTCCATCCCGCAGATCAATGCACCCCCCACTAACATCTGGCCTGACACATGCAGCAGGTCAAAAGTTTCCTGTTTGCGCTGGCAAAAGGACGTTCATAAAGGTCGCTGTATCTGCTCCAGGCCCACATGTCTCAGTGCATTAGGAAGGATCTCTCAATGGCAATTCACAATCTCTGAGTGTGAACAGGAGGAATAATTTAAAGCAGCTGAATCAAAGTACATTTTACATTACGGAATGTTTTTGTTTAGTTTGTTTTTGGGATCTCATCAAGGCTGACCCATTATTCTCTGCGGGCAGTCGACTTAACCATGGTCAGTGCTTATTAGGGGGGCACGATTTTGAAAAAGTTGCGAAATGCCAATATATTGACTGGTATTGCAAGAAGGATTTCCTCTTCTCTGCAGCACCACAATACCTTATGTTATATGTTCATATTTTATAACCTTCTTATTCTATTTAAACTTGTTTTAATTTATATTCCTGTGGCCTTTTAATGAGGGTTTTTAATGTGATTCTGTTGCTTTACATCATAATTCTCCTATTGTTGTGAACGATTTAATATCCAAATGTGTATCTATCTATGTATTATATTAGATATACTTTATTGATCCCAATTTGGGAAATGTTTTCCTCACAGCGTGTGTATGTGTCTGTGTATGTGTGTGTGTGTGTGTGTGTGTGTGTGTGTATGTATGTATGTATGTATGTATGTATGTATGTATGTATGTATGTATGTATGTATGTATGTATGTATGTATGTATATATATGTATGTATGTGTGTGTGTGTGTGTGTGTGTCTGTATGTATGTATGTATGTATGTATGTATGTATGTATGTATGTATGTATGTATGTATGTTGTATTTATCTATCTATCTATCTATCTATGTATGTATCTATCTATCTATCTATCTATCTATCTATCTATCTATGTATCTATCTATCTATCTACTGTATGTATGTTGTATCTATGTATGTATGTATGTATGTATGTATGTATGTATGTATGTATGTATGTATGTATGTATGTATGTATGTATGTATGTATGTA